CGGCGCGTGGCTGGATGGCGCATATTTCGTGCACTTTCTCCCTGTTTCTTGCACCTCACATTTCTTGCGTAGCTTGCTTTCCAGTGCAAGAAATGAGGTAGCAAACCCACAAGAAACGAAACACTGTCTATTTAATCGAAGAAGAAGTTGCAGCACTTACTTACTAATTTTTTCGTCTGGAAAATATCTGGCATACTATTTCTTGCTTCTTAGAGACGTTTTTTATCCCTCAATTCTGGTTTACCTCACTCAACGTGCACCTTTTGTGGCTTGGCGTAAGTAAATGTCATTGTGCACTTATGTATTGTTGGCTGGTGGGTGATAGATTTCTCTGAAAGTATTGGAACTGCGGTTAATCTTAATCTCATCGTGGTTCCTTTTTACGTAAGCGAGAGGCAGGCAGATGGATCCGTACGTATTTATTCGTAGTAAAAGCGTTTTCTTTTGGTCACCCTCCTCCTCATTTGGAAGGACGGATTGGATTACATAAAAGAAAAGAGGAAAAAAGTCTGTCCTCCTCCTCGTCCAAGGGATTCTTATATTTCTTAAGATTGTCTCGATCAACAAATTCCCAAGACTTTACGTATCCTGTCAACCATCTCCGCCCTGTTGTGGTTTTTGGCTGTCCTCTTGTCATGCACTCTTCCATTCTATTTATCTCACAAAGAGAAAAGAAAGGACATTTGATCCCACTTTTTACTCAGAGGTCTCAACAAATGCGGTGGTTGTGGTTTCAGCTTCTTTGTGGGTGGACAAGGAAGAAGGAGGAAGACGACAATTTAAAATTAGTCGCTAAATACGTATTTCATAAATAATGTAGGGAAAATTATTGTCTGGAATTTAATAGTGAAATTGCAGTGGTAATGTTGATTGATTTGATTTATTAATTAAAAATATGAGCATCAATTTTCAAGGGTTAATCAGTCAGTCACCATTCATCCTGCATGTGAGAGAGGACAGATGGTCACTTTTTCCATGCCTGCCTCCCCAGGACGGCTGAGTTGGTGATATGCTCCATCATAACTCTGCACGAAAGTAATAACTAGACCACGATGAGAATATGTAGAGAGACAATTCATTATTTCATTTGGTTTTCATCAGAAATACCAAAATTCACCAAGAATTCTCTCTGAGCAGGAGGAAAGGGGAAACCGTAATTGGCTTAAGTGGACCATTTCATTTACTTACTGACTCCATGCTATTCAACTCTAAATACAATCCTTGCATGTATCTGTATCGTAGAAATACGAGACACACGAGAAACTCAGCCCATCCAGCTAATAAACTAATAAGCAAAGCCAATAGTCGTTATTGTTAATGACCATCAGACAGACATCGTTGTTGTAGCTGTGTGTACAGCAAATGGCCAATAGTTGGTCAGCGGAATGGCATTTAGCTGTATAATTTTCAATCAGGACTTTATTAGATTCTCCAGAGAGAGATGCCCATCCGTATTTATTCCACTTGGTGGGTCGTTGTCATTAACAGTTGGTTTTACGTACATGGCCCCTTGACCCAGCTTAATATTAAGCTTATCTAAAGGCTAAAACCTTTGTCAAATCTTCCACTCTAATCTTTACCACGAGATGACTTGGACGAGATAACAGAAATGTTGACAATTCAATTTTGTCCGTTAAATATTTTGTGAATTGTGAAAACCAATTTTATTTAATCTCTCGCTAAACTCGGAGGCTGGCTTCCTTCCTTCCTTCCCAAATTACCCAAGTAATGTACAAACCTAATAATAAACCCGATCAAATCAGTCCGCAGTAGGGCGGAGGAAAGTGTTTATGAATTTTATGCTTCGTTACCTCACACAATCTGTTCCAAGTGCACTTGGGGCCTACGTTTGGATGATGCGGTTTGCTTTACGAGTGGCGGAGAAGATTAGCTATTTCAACGCTAAGGTCGTCGTCGCAAGCACACCAGTTAATCAGACCAAAGTTCCAAAAACATTCCATTTTCCGTTCGTTTGGAGAATCGATCCAGGACTCTGCCAATGAGTTTAAGTCGAGTTGATAACTGTGGAAAATTAGGAATTATCCGAATTATCTGGTTTTCCTAAGCGCTCCAACTATTATTAAGGAGTTGGGTGGTGGTGGGAATGGAAGAAAAGTTAGTTGTGGTGGGCTGTATAATGGAGTTAAAGATGACGAGAGGATTTCCAAATCAATCTGCAAATCGGGACGCAAATGAGCGAACTATCTCTTCTGCCGAGTGGCCTGGTCGACTAAACTTACATTCACCATGATTAACTCCCTCCCTCCCAGTGGCCGCGGAAGCTGTGGGGACATCGGGGGACATTAACATTGTAGGATAGGGGAGGGAGGGGTTTGTATAACATGGGCGGATGATGAGGACACCGCACAATCGTGGCGACATTGTCCCTCTGTCCCCACCCATGGTTCCGCGGCCACTGTTCCCCTCCTCCTCCTCCCACCAGAGAGAGCGAGAGGAACGAACGCACACCACCACTTTCTGCCTGCTCACCATGATAACGCATGGAACGCAGTGGGGTGAACTAATCAGGAAAAATGAACAAGATTTTTGCCACGCAATCAAGCGCGGTTTGGCAATTTATCATTAAAACTTTTCAACCACGGCACTCTGCCCAAATTAAATGAGAGGAACTCTCTTCGCCAAGAATGAGCAAGGTCATGCAATATCTAATTTTATGCTGGAGGGAATTGGACGAGGAGATTAATGATGTGGACATATTTAATGATTTCTCCCATAAATTCTAAAATTATTCAGGACCGTGTCGATTTCGGCGGAGCAAAAAATAATGACTTTTCCTCAGACTTCTCATTTTTGTAGAGCGACTTGTGTCAAGTGTCTTTCTCGTTGCAAAGATTTTTTTTCTGAGTGTGTGCATCAACAGCAAAGTTTTTTTTTCTGAAAACATAACACAATGCAATATTCCTCCATTTCCGACATCCGCACACTTATCGTCTCGTCCATCCAAAAGGGTGGAAGTTGTGCCGTTGTGACACCACCACCACGAGGCACGAGCAAATTTGCTCCGAATTTAGAATTTAAAGCGTGTCTTCACTTCCTTCTTGTCGTCTTCGTTGGAAATGTCATCCGACAAGAAGAGACACCACCCGGTCTTTCGGCTGAAGAAAGCATGTTCCTTCCCGAAATCGAATCCACTTGTGTCTCGAAATTCCTCTCGACTAGACTTGCCATCACTTTTTAGTTAGAGATGCAGAATTCCAATCCATACACGGTCATGGCCTTACATGGAACGAATCATGGTTGACATGCCCTTGAGTCGGGGAGAAATGGCGATGCAGCAGCAGTGTCACCAAACCAAACCAACGGAGAATAACGGATTCTTAAGCAGAGTTTGTTTGAAGTTGGGTTCAGTCGTTGTAGTTCGAGTGTCAGATGCTGTTGACAGATATTGATGATGTTTTTCAACAGAGGTTTGATGAGTCTGATACATATTCGAGGGGGCATTTCCTTCCGGCCTGCGTATCCGTATCCCACACTTCCGGATTCGGATTGGAAGGGTGTATTTCGTCAAATTGTGGGATGATGTGCCAAAGAAAGCTCATTAAATATTTGTGCAATTTTAATGCGTAAATGTAAATCAGCAATAGCAATTTACTCATTTTTTGCAGAGTGAAAGAGGGAAAAAACAGTTCAAATTCCTTCAAACCTTATTTATTTTTTGGTCTCACTTTGCACATAATAAATGTGTTTCCGTCATGTTGCAAAAGTCTGTAATAAATATATTTAACGAGTTGAAAATGCACACAATTTGTCGCTGTTATTCCCCTGTCGCGTGGTTATTATTACCCGTAAAATTATTACCGACCGACGCACCACGAGATAGGAAAAAGTGTAAATTTGACTCCACTATTTCCACCGAGCAAACCAGAAATGAATTCTTCTTCTTTTCGGTCTGGAAGTCGTCTCTCATTCCATTGTTGTTGTTACACATCACAAAGTGGTCGTGCTACCCGGCTCTCTCATTTCGTATGTATGCTTATCTTCCCTTGGTTGCTTATGTCTGTGTGTGTGGTGTACGGGTGAGTGAGTCTGAACAGAGGAAGAAGAGGAGAGCAGATAGAAAGTGGTGGTGGAATGGAATGAAAGCATGGACGATGATAATAATAATATGCAATTCTGTAATGTGAGCGGTAGTGGTAGTAGGAGTACATAGTTGGGTGCCTGGTATCACTGGTGGCGGTGTCACTGGGGACGACTGGCGAAATGCCAACGAGATGCCATTTAATTTCATATAAATTGGGAAGGCTTTCCCTTTCAGTCACTTTTCCTTCGTGCCTTTTAACAACAAACAATGTCACACAGTCGGATATGTAATAGTGAAAGGGGTGGAATTGTCGTGTATACATGCGGTTATATTTATCAATCAAGCCGTAGTTTGGGAGAGGATGCAGTGCAAAATTACTATTGTGTATGTATCTACCAAAACAACCACTTAGTGTATGCACGACGGAGGTGGTACTCGTAAATAATTGATGCAACCCTGAAAAAATGAAGGATACCGAGATAGCAGGTTCTGTTCTTGGCTTATCGCGTATTATGACAGGCACTTGTCTCGTTCAGAAAATGGGAAATTCACCAATCAGAAAATGATTACTTCCTCCCCTTTCCTATTCTTTCTCTCTCCGGTGAGGAAATGTAGAGTAGAGGCGACAGTGTTTCGGGTGTAAGAAAAAACAATTGCAAGAAATAACGGGGATAAAGTGGTTTCTTGCAGCTAAATATTTTGACCTGCAAGAAATGCAAGGCTCAAAAAACTACTAGATGACGCATATTTCTTGCACTTGCTCCCAGTTTCTTGCACTCTTGCATTCATTGCTTTCCAGTACAAGAAATGTAGCAAACCCGCAATAAACGAAACCCTGACAATCGTCTTATCTGCTGCACCACCACGAGAATACTTTTCCAGAAAATTTGAGAAGAAATTCTAAGTGACACCTTTACATCTACTAATAAGGAAATTTCTCTCTCTCTTTTTTTTACAGACAATTGCAATCTTCCGAGTCACTGGAAAGGCGAATGGTTTCAATCCGGCGTGGTTTCACCCATCATGATCGACCACAAGAGCATGGGCGACAAGGGGACTTGCATTGAACGATCTGGCGACAAATTTCTCTTCTACGAAAAGTAAGTACCACCACCTTAATTTCTCTTCAAGCTTCAGAATTCTGCGTAAAAAAGCGGCTGAATTTTTTTCATAACCATTTTCTACGCAATAATTCAACTTTTTTTAATCCAACATTAAACATGTTGATGATGATGGAATGGGTCTGGAGAAGAGTCGCTCATCAAACGTGGAAAAGGCTCCCGCTGGCCAGCGTGCGTGTCGTAATGACTGCTGCTCATTAAGAATTAAGAAGCGGAGGAGAGTAGAACAATAAAGAGCAGGTTCAATTATGGGAATGATTATATTATTCTTCGAGAATATGCCGCATATTAAGTAAAAGGTTCAAAGAAGAAGAAGAAAATGTGTAAAATAAAATTATTTTTTGGCGGCTGAGGTCCTTTTTTCCAAAAAAAAATAAGAGAGCTTATTGTACATTAAACCGAAATCCGGTGGCTTATTGCACTCTTTTAATGTGGGACGAGATACTCAATTTTCAGGAGACTAAAAAGTTCTCATTTGTTTTGTAAACCACGCGAGACTTCATCGTCCACAATACTTTATTACACTCCAGTATTACGGAGAGTAAGTAAAATTTCAATTCGGTTGCAGGACAAATTAGAAGAAATTGTTGCATATTACGAAACACTGAGAATTTATATTCCTAAAAATATTGGTCGACCCATCACAACAAGGAAAAATTAATAGAATTTGCGCTATTTTAATGTTCGACGAGGTACTCAGTTTTTGCGAGACTAAAATTTCTCATTTATTTTACTTCTACCTTACTTAACTCGGCTTTATCTAAGAACGAGTACGTAATTTTATTCAAACTAAGCAAAATATTAAATTCGGTTGCAAGGTTTAGCAAATTTTAAAAATTGCTTAATTTTTAAATAATGTGAGAATTTGTATTTCTAAAAATATTGGCCCACCCATCACAACAGCAAAAAAAGTACAGAATAAGAATCCACAACTTCATATCATCCATCCACTTCTCAAGTCGAAAAATTCCGGCTTGTTCTTTATGGAAAAATCCTAAATGAACATTTTGACTCATTACATTCTTCTCCAGAGATTCATACGTATGTATTTGAAATATTATCCTGACGGCTGTGCCTCCTCCAGTCAGATCGGGCCGGCATCCCTTTGAAGATTCCTGGAGGCATGTTAGCCTGGAATGTGATTTACTTAACTGAAACCCATGATAATTTGTTAATTACTTGGCTGCGAAAATAATAATGATTGTTTTTTGTGCCATGTCTTCAAGGTATTTGTACTCGAACATACTTCTTTCTTACCGTAAAATTCCATCCTCATCCCTGTGAAATTTTGTCATGCAGCATATTTCAAACCAGGAAAAGGGTGGTGGTGGTAGTGGTGATGGGAGCTCAAGTGCTTGTCACCAGACCAGACCCCTCCGCTATTTTCGTTGTGGTTTTTGCTAATATGATGATGCAAGAAGGGACCACGACAAAGGTTGCGAAAGGCCATTAGGCCGAGGATTTATGGTTGGTCGTCGTCGTCGTCATTCATTAAATCCACTCGGTCGTCGGTGCTTAAGGTTTCAGGCCTAGTTAAGACTGCTCATTAATTACTCGCGTCTTCATTATGGGTTGTCCCTCTCTCTCTTGACGAGAAGAAGACTCTGCGAACGAGAGAATGTCTCAGTTTCCGGTGTCGCTCACCCGTCACCGAAAAAAGGTGGTTAAAGTTCTTCCCTGCAGTAAAATCTCCTTGTTTCGGAGGCTGTTTACTTGTGGATTTTTAAGCAAGTTAAGAAGTTTTGAAATATCACACGGACAGGTTTTCCCGTCATGGTCGTTACTCATTGTATGCTTGGGTGACAGCGAAATCAATTTGATCCGCCGCCTGGATATTTTTAGATGTAGATTATCCTTTATGCCACGCTGAGTCATGACTTGATAACTGAGTGAGGAACTGAGAAAAACAGACAAAAAACCGAGTTCCACTTCATAAATTGTCGCAAGCCAATTAGAAATTTAGCTAGAATACATAGAATTTCGTGTTTTATGTCAGGTACACGGGCTCCTTAAAGTCATCCTTTTTTGTTTGATCGGTTCGAAATTAGTGGAAAAAAGACAAACACCCTTCTCGTTCTTCGTCAAATTGCTCTACCTTCACCACGACCACGACTACGACTTCTTCTTTGGCTGGTGAAGTGGACAACTTTTTTGTCATTAATGCTCTCACCCCCGTCCTCCGTCCCTCCTGAAAGTACTTAGCAGAGCACCCCTCGTGAATTTTTGATTGAAAAAGTCATTTGTGCGCTGAGACGTCTTCTACACGAAGTCTCCCCCCACGACGACGACGACGACGGTTGTGACAACGCCATAAAGTGCACATTGGACATTCCCTCTGATTGAGAATCTGAACAAGTTAGGTACACGTTACATAAAAAAACTGGTGGCGGTGGCGGTGGTGGAATCGATTAAGAAAAAGAGAGGAGAGAAACTGTAGAGCAGAAAATCTCGTTTTTTAAAGCTGATGACTGTTGAACAAAGCTGGAGGATGGATAGATTGGTGCTGATGGCATTCAGGTTTGTCGTCGTCCGAAAGATCTTTTACCGAGGGTGAAACTTTACGAGATCTACGATCCATTTACTTACGTGTACTTGGTCTTATGTAGAGGAATGGTTTGGTTGGTGAAAAAATTGATGGGCATTTCGTCGTCTGGTCACGTTTTGAAAGAGTGTGTAAAGCCAAACCAAAGAGGGAAATAGATCTCCGGTAAAACATGGGAGAGAGAACAATTTGTAAAACAATGTTCACCTTGAGTGTCCAATTGTTCTCTTCTTTATTCGTATCTTATCTTATCAAAGAAATCCACTCGGCTTGATGGGAAACTTTTAGAATTTGAATCGTTTGGGTGGAAGATACCATTTAAATAGATACGAAACTGGGCAGTGAGTTGAGCCAAATTCTTGGGTCGACTAAGAAAGAGGTTTCCCAGCGTATACTCTTAGATTTTGAGAAAACTAGTGTTAATCGATCACAAATTTAATTAGTATGAAATTTGCAAAAAACACGATCTCCCAATGGGCAAGTTTGGCGAAGATATTTGCATACAAAGAGGAATAAAGCTGACAAATTTACTGCCCATTTTCTCCTCTTCGGATGCAAATATTTCTGCCAAACGTGGCCATTGAGAGATTTTGTCTTTTCCAAATTTCATACTAATTAACTTTGTCATTGATTGAACACTTATTTGTTCAAAATCTCAGAGCATACGTTGGGAGACCTCCATTGTCAGTAAGTGAGCTGAGAATATACATACGAACGAAGCCCCTTAAAATTGTGGAACTACTCAATTTCAAGAGGGAATAAATCTAAAATTTGTACTGAGTCGCCTCATGAAGAGGAAAACGTTGTGGTCATAAACAGCTCAATTCCCCTCAAGTAGAAGAAGAAGAAAAAAGCGGAAAAGGAAACGAAACCCTCTTTCATTTCAACTCAAGCAGAGCCAATTTAGCAATTTAGCAGCCCCGAAAAACACTAACTGACCACCACAGCTTCCTCCACGTAGGGCTTCTCCCTCCTCCTCTGTCTGGACTGATGTGAAAGTGAGTGAGTGACTCATCACTCGGGATTTAATAGACAAAGTGAGAGCACCATCAACACTCCATTATTTTACAGTAGGAGAGCAATGGTCTGGTCATTTGCAGCCTCACCCTACGCCACGTTACGTTACGTCTTCATCTCTTCGGAGAAAGAGTGTTGGGGGAAAGCGGGATATATTTTAGGCTGATTGTCTCCCACGATTTGAGAGATTTGGCGAAAGGGAGCTGAGTTATCGACTTGTAAATGAGGTGTAAGTGGGAGGATAAAGTTTACAAATGTGCACGGACCGACTGACACAGCTGTTGACCACTCGTACAGTTCCCAGCGTACGAGGTCCATACACCAATATTTTACAGGGTAAGCGAGTGAGTGGATGAGCAAATATGGAGATCACCTTTCCCCGTACGGAGATGATGATGAGATGCGATCAAGTATTCTGTACGACCCGACAAGATGTCCTGCGACGATAATGCGACTCATCCATACATGTCCACTCCACATTCAAAATTCGACATTACACATTCATAAAACGGTGATATTCTTCCCCCGGAGTGCTGTGTACAAATGGCTCAATCATCTCGCTACCCAGTCTGTCATTGTGTATGTACGAGTATCAAATAGTATAATGGAGGAGGATTAGTTAGGTAGGTATCGGTCCTCCTATGGCTAAAATATGGCGAGTGTACAAAAGTAGTGACATGACAGGCTCCGTTATCAGAATCACTATCGCTATCACCGAGCCTGTCCCTTGTCGCTTAATTTTCATTGTCTGTTTCAAACATGTTTATCGCATCTCCATTTCTCTACCTTTAAAGCCTTTTAAGTGGATTTATGACCCGATCGCCAGCCCAGCCAGAGACCCGTCTGGTGAATCAAGTCTTGATCAAATTCGTAGTATGCATGCACAAATAAATGCTATAATTGAAAATGAGAGAGTATTTAAATACGTACGAGAGGAGGAAGGGTGCGTCCCTTAATTTATACAGTGTGGCAGTGGCGTCTCTGGCTGGGTGCAATATGCCACCTAAATCATGACCAATCATTCACTCAATTTTCATTTTTCTTTGATAACATCTTATCCACTGGGATCCCTTTTCCGATCGAACACACCTTCGAGATGGAATCAGATTCGTTTAATATTCATGATTTTGATTGGCATAAAATTATTTGGATTGTAGATATAAAACGGGCTCGAGTGTCTGCTGGCAGCGTTATTGATCTTGATAAGCGGTCGTATTTTTATTACGGAATTTTACGTTCGTTCGTCAAAGTTGGTTTCTTCTTATTGAGTAAAATATACGGATATCTGTAGGTGGAAGGAGCAATAAGTTATGTAATTTATGCCATAAACGACCCTGACTTCTACACTCGTTTCCAATCTCTCAAATAAGTTTTTCGTTTATATTTCTTGTCCTGAGAGTGGAGTGGAACTGAGAGAGCG